CGGCTGGAGACATGCTGCGAAAAGGGGAACCCTGTGTCGGAGGTGGAGCGACCGGATTAAGCGGTGTGAATAAACGCGATTCGCAACATTGGAATCATTTAGGGTAATGGGTAGATTAGTGAAATTCTCTATTTATTTCCTGTGCCGGTCAAAACTGTCAAACGTTCGCGACATTTTGCAGGAGTTTTATCCTCGCGAGAAAATTTGGCTTCAGAGCACGTTGGAAGAATTCCGCATCAATTATCCTGTTATCATTACCATTCAATGCAGTAATGCATTGCGTACAAAAAAAGAGAAATGGAAAGTGCTTCCATCATGCTGCGTTACTTGTCATCTTAGCATGGACGCCTCGTTTTTCACAGGCAGCAGCGTTCAAAAAAAGCGGATAAACGATCTCCAATAATTATTACACCTCAAAACGCAACCATGGCGAAACAGTTATAGAAATCTTGTTAAAAATGCATGCTTAAAAAGGTTTGCGTATTGAGTACGCTATCACAATAAGCGATTTATCGATTTTCTAGTGAGTAAAGAGGAAAGTATGAGGGAGAAGTCTAAGTGGACAAATGACCTTGTATTCTCAAGTCTGGCCACTCGCGATGACCCATAACACCATCACCATCTGGGGCTTTGTAATGACAGAAGACATCACTGGCAACTCTTTGTAACCAAGTGGACACACGTAATTCTGTGGTAAATAGGTCGCATGTGAAGAGATTTATCAAACGAGACCTCGTTTAATCGGATTCACTAAAACGGAAGAGGGTGGTGTCGCCTCGTAAGGGTCCAACCAAGGCTGTTTCTATTAACAGGCGACAACTTTCAGCAAAAAGGCCCGTTTTTGAGCTTGCTTGCATGAGCTAGGTTACTTAAAACGTGTGGAAACATGCGTTTCTGTGAATTTCTGCAGTGTTAGCTTGCAGCGTGCGCTACTTAGCGACAGAACAACGTTTGTGTGATACGCTGGACCCTGCAAATTTAACTGTTTTTTTTTATGCAGTAGAGGAAGGCTTTCTAGGTGAAATTTGTGTCCACCAAATGAACTGGGGGTCACGAAAGTGCTGACTGTTCAAATGATTTGCCATGGCACTGAGCAATTTTCAAAAACACACACTACTACTCACATTGTCGTCTTCCTCTCCATTTCAATTTTAAAAAATAAGGGGGCGTTTATAGGGGTAAAGTGTTTACAGAAGCGCGGTTAAATTAATCATTCGTGTATTGTGAAGGGGAAATGTCACAGTCCTGCATATTTTTACATGTGAAATAGCAGCCGCCTCTTTTTTTGGTAAAAGCGATAATGCTGTAGCCCGAAGCACCTCTGGCATTTAGACAAATTATCTACCCACACACAAGTAAATTGGTGAATGAAGAATTGTGGATCCCTAGAGCTGACCTTTAATTATTACCAGGGAACATTAAACTATATGGCCGTTTGGCTTGCTTAGATGAATGACATTTCTACCCCTAGAGGCTCCACCATAGATTAAGCGAATCAAGATGGACGGTCATCAAGACCAAAGGCATTGAGTTTGAACAAGGGGAGGTGCGTGGACAATTTCAGAGCCTGAAATGTTACTAGCAAACAATAAGTAGACATTAATATTCAAGGTTTGAAAACATTTTACGCCGCAATCACTGCAGCTTGGCGTCTGACCCTAATAGCACACGCATTTCCAAGCGGCTCCACAAACGAAATCATGCAGTCATTGCTGTAAACATGTGTTTGGAAGGGTTTGAACTCTGGATTTTCCTTCGTCAAAGAAGGCACTAATCTACGAAACAATTAGAGCAAGATCTAGATGTGAGACACCTGTGTCTTTCATTAAAATAATTGGATGCATAATCGATGAGCTGGCGATTGTAACCCCCACTCTCAAATAAACGCAATCAGTTACGCAATACGCCCTGACCGAACAACTCAGTGTCTTTTTAAAAAAAATTAGCGCTAATTCTATATTGATACAAATATCTTATACTGATTTAAATGAAGACCAGAAGCAGCAGAGCTCACTAAAAAAACAATCGATTTTAGGACAAATTACAACTAAATCATTTCAGTAAAGAATATCGAAAGCAATTGAATTCCGTTTCGTAATCTGCTGCTTGATCGTCTGATTTCAACAAGGACAACTAGAAACGACATTATATTAGGTTCAGTGCCGAAGGTCATGATAGCTATCGTTGGAACATATCACATCCTGATCTTTACAATGACAGCCCTATAAAATTGGCACACATGGATCAGTCAATGTACCAGGCTACAGAAATTCGCCCGGTCAATAACCGATTGTAGGAATAATAGGTTATTGACTGAAGACTTTAAACATGCTTTTGTGCTGTCTCAACTGCAAGTATAAACGATCTTAGGTTGTTTTAAGTTAATCGAGGGTGACGACATTAGGAAAGAATAAATTTGTAGCATTATTTAGTCACCGATAATAAAACAAATACTCGCGAAAGTGACAATGACAACAGGCTGGGCTATACGTGATTTGCTAAGGTACAAATTCAAAATGATTAATGTCTAGAAAGTCTAAAATACACTGAAAAAGTAAGTATGCATTTGTTTTATTTGCATTCCAGCTGACTATGTTTGTGGTACAACACGTGTTGTAATTTTTAAGAAAACATAACGAGCAAAATATTTTCATGTTTTACAAGTAAGATATATATTATAAGGCCCTGTTTGGCAGAAAACTGGCTTGCGAAATATAATGGAATCAGATTATTAATAGGATTATGAGAAAATTTATAATTGTTTTAAAGAGAGATTCACGGGCTTAATGCAGATAAAAAAAAGAATAATTCTCCAGAAAAAATAACAATCTCAGTGTTCTTAAAATGAAAACATTTGACTGCAAAACTGGCATACACTTCATGATTGATAAAAAATGTATGTAAAAACATGGGAATACTCTCTTAAATGAAATTTGAAGCCATATTTTGAGCAGGATACAACTAGCAAATATTTTGTATCTAGCTATTCAACCTACATACCATACGAAAAACCTGGCACCTTGCATGAAAACAAACCAATGTCTTACCCGAAAAAGCACAGAGCCACACGCAATAGGTTTCTTGTCAAAAGTTAGTACATTTCAAACTGGGTGATTTTGCAGTATGTCTTGGTAAAGTATCAAAATTTCTGACGTTGCAAAGAATTCGGTTACGCTGAGGATTGATATATGTGTCAACGATGACCCACAGTGATATCCTATTCGTTTGCAAAATTATTGTAAAAAAATCAACTGATTTAAGTAAGATGTACGTCAAGGTGATAAGCCATCGGCATTAATTTTGATCAGCTGGTTACAGGTATTTGCATCCGACAAAATTGACTCCACCGGGTCTACTATGTGTTCAAGACATTGATGACGACCCGCTACGAAATTGCAAAAAAATGCTCAATGAGCGAATCAGAAATATATGCATATATTTCAAATCCGAATTAATTTAGATTAGTGATTTTTGTGATTCAGAAAATATGACGACAAACACCACGGCACACATATTTTAACTCATAAAATTAATTGCGTCATGTTATTTAAATGAAAAAAATTAATTTACTTTCCGAGGCCGCTTAATGGATTTTTCCTATGAAATCAGAGAGACATTTCCCAATTTATCGACACATACTTAATCTTTACCCTGCCTAGGATTATGTAATGATGTTTGTACCGCTATTGTCAATTAATATTACATTAAATTAAAATTATATAACAAATCCTTTCAAATTACTCATAGAAGAAATAGTTCAAATCAACCTTTCATTAATCGCGCCACGATGACCTTGGGGGCTTTCCCCAGTGTAGGCATTGTCCAGAAGTAGGTTTTTTTCCGTCTTGGGATAAGTTAACGAAGCGGATTGGTGCTCCAAGTTTTTCATTGGACTAGCGCAGTACTTTTCAGCCGAGAAATATAAGGTTAGTTAATGTAACTTTTGGTTGCTGTACATACCGACTAACTTAAATTTACTTCATTTGATTAATGTCACAAAAGCGTAGAATTGGCGACACCATTCAAGAATTCTTGTTTGAACTTGCTACTGCCAGACTGCTATCTATAGTGATAACCGGATAAATGTGTGTTATTCTCGGGAAAATCGTCTTTTATGTACCCATTATTGTTTCGACAGGTATTGACTTTACTTGTCCAATTATCTCTTGTCTACTCCTAATTTTGGCTGACAGGGAACCTTTTATTCACAAGAAAAATCGTAAGCCCTAGTTTTATCTGAAGGCGATTGTTAAACAGACTTGGGCTTGTACACTGACTGATCTTTCAACTTTTCGGACCTGTGATTTTGGCGTTTGTGGCACAATGGTTGGTATTGGTGATAAAATATTTGGCCTTTTGCACGTCAAAACACAACAGAGCCTAACTCTTACCCTTTTATGCTTAATGTTTCCTGCCTTATTGTATGCTTTACAGGAGTTAGCCTGTTCACTTACATGAAATCCGTTCTAATTTATGTTTACGTTATTTTTTGAACATTTCACGCTGTATGGTCCAAATCCATCTTTAAGCTTTCTTATCATTATCATAAACGAATTAAACTTCGCCGTCTCAATTGCTTTTTCATACGTAACTTTTGTAAATGAAACAAGTGGTAATGTGCTCCGTTTTATCACTTCCTGTGCCATGGTCCTTTACTCGGAAATTAATTTTTTTACAATCCAACACAATCGTTTAGTTTTTCATTACTTACTGTTTTTCCCTATTCACAGACTTTGACATCGTTTGTGAAAGATGGGATCTACACAGAAATTGTCATCTTTTCTTCTCCGTTCTCAAAAAATCGGCGTAAGTTGTTCCTTTGCACTTTAGCTTTTCGTCATACCTTCGCAACAGAATGTGTTTTGGTTATAAATATCACAGTTTATTGATCTGTTTTGATAACCCATTTTTGTAGCGTCGATGCTGAGTCGTTTTTTTTTCATATAGTTTCCTCGCTTCTTGCTTTTTAGTTGATTTACCAGAGGTCTCTCTTCTCAGACATGACGACTGTCACGCACAAAACTAAAGTTGATCGGCCCTACGCACCGCTACCGTCGACCTTTTCGTTGCCTTATGAGCCAGGAGTTTCCCTTCCGAGGGCGAAATACGGTGGCCGACACACCGTTGCCATGCTCATGGGCGACGGTGTAAGTCCAGAAATGATGAGTCACGTGAAAGCCGTCTACCACACTCTCGAAGCGCCGGTCGATTTTGATGAGGTTTTAATCGACAATAACTCTGATGATGCCGCTGTTCGGGAAGCCATTCTGGCTGTTCAACGGAATGGCGTGGCCATCAAGGGCAGCATTAAGACGATTCAAGGTATGTGAATATTTGATGTACTTGCATTACACTCTTGCCACTTGCTTATGTATAACAATGTGATGGAGGTTTTTACTGTTGTACTTGGCAGCAGTTTTTGAGTACATCATAATGCTGTTGGCAGAGCATGTAGTGTATTGTTGAAGATTTATCAGAAACATACAACAGCCTTGTTACCATGGTAGCGTTTTATGGGTCTAATGGAAAAGACAGAGGAACACATTTCTGATTTATGATTCGCTCGAAGTAGTGAATTGGTTTTGTTGTAAAAACCTTTTAGGACTAAAATCAAAAAACATAATGATTCGTAAGCAGTTGGAATTGTTCGCCTATGTACAGCGATGTTACAGTTTCCCGGGAGTGGTCACACGACACAAGGACATCGACATCACGGTGATTCGCGAGAATACCGAGGGTGAATATAGCCAGGCAAGTCACACTGTGCTGCGTTATTCAATCCTTGTCCGCGTGCCCTTCACTCTGCACGTTTTCCTCCTTTCGCTTGCTGATTTCTTGCGTTTGCTTTCTAGTTAGAGCACGAAAGCGTTCCAGGTGTTGTGGAATCCATGAAAATAATAACTTATGAAAAGTCGGCCAGGTGAGCAACCCTACTATGCCTCTATTGCAAATAATTGCCCCCTCCCTGCTTGTCCATTTACTCTGGTTTGTATAGCATAAAGCAATGGGGTTAAGATTTTCCCTAAACGAATCTAGCTGCAAGTTAGGTGCTGAAGCTGTGCGTAAAAAGCAATTTAGGTGTTAAAAGTGTGGGTTCAGTGGTTTAAGCTTTTCTCCTCGTTAATTTATTTCTCTTTTGCCAGAATCGCTCGATTCGCCTTCGACTATGCGCTTCAGCACGGACGAAAAAAGGTCACAGCTGTGCACAAGGCCAACATTATGAAACTCAGTGACGGTCTGTTTCTTAAAACGTGTGAAGAAGTCTCCAAACTTTATCCTAGTGTACGTACATCGTGAAGGGGTCTTTTTTACTTTACTGGTGCATGACCCACAGGACAGGAGCCTCATTAAACCTCTTTCCGGTTACTTGTAGATTGAATTCAACTCGATGATTATCGACAACTGCTGTATGCAGCTTGTTAGTCGACCGCAACAATTCGAAGTTCTCGTTCTGCCGAATTTGTACGGAAACATTGTGGGAAATCTGTGTGCCGGATTGGTTGGGGGCGCGGGTCTTGCTGCAGGGATGAATTTGGGCGAAAATTATGCCATTTTCGAGTCCGGAACGCGGAAACAGGCGCGCTCCCTGAAGGGCCAGAATATCGCCAATCCTGTCTCTATGCTTTTGGCTTCTGCTGACTTGTTGGATCACTTGGGTGAGGAACTCAGTGCTTCCTTCACTTACACCCCTCGCTGTAGCCTTATATTGCCCCCCACAAATATTCCACTTATTTATGTAGATACTTCCATCCCAACACCTATTTCCCGTCCAAATTGTTTCAAGTGATAGAGAATGCCCATGAACTTAGTGGGCGTTCGCAGCCAGGTCTCATAGACGTTTGAAATGTTGAATTTAGGCACAGTTTCCACTAGCATAGCCAGCATTTTTGGCATATTTGAGTTCGAAAATATGATGTGTTGGCGTTTAGTAGCAGAGCTAAGGTGTTATTAGTCTTTTCCATCTATTGAATGAAGCATAATGTGACCATGGCTTTATTGAGGTGTGAATTAACAACGTCTCTCGTGGCTGTCCTTCTAGGGCTCTATGAAAAGTCGAAAATCCTCCGGAATGCCATCCTGGACGCCATCTCAGTGCAGAACGTGCGAACTCCCGACATCGGTGGGATGTACACCACCAAGGACGTGGTCAACGCCGTCACCTCGAGCATTATCTCACAAATGCAGGATTAGTGTCATTTGGTCCTCGTTGTCTCCGGACTCGCGTGTTTCGCCTCATTTAGTCTTTTATCCCTGTTGTGAAGTTAAATATGCGCTTTTTTTGCTAGAAACTGCTTTGTGGCTTCTGCTTGTGTGTTTGGCGGTCGACTGACCTTTGCATACGCTTGTGGCTTATTATGCTCCACGGCCCCTTTGAACCATTCTGCCGCGTTTTAAAATTGAACCACCCTTGGGTCGAAGTGTAGCGCGGGATCCTAACTTCCAATTTTTTTTGCGTTAATTTAAACAACACTGCCAAATATGCCACTCCGAACTGTTGTTAGTGCAGGGCTTGCATTGACCTAACTCGAACATCGGGCTGCTTACCTCACTCCCAAGCAAAATCGCTGATATCATTTGGCGTGATATTGCTTGTAATGCGGTGCCCAAATGTTGCGAAAAGGACTTTAGAAAGCACTCCCAAGGGGATATGTCAGATGATCGGTTATCAGGAATTATCTACTTGAGATGAGGAAGTGGTTTTTCCAGCTGTTTAGGGGTGTCGTGGTCAAGGGTTTCTAGTTTTCGGAAATGCAGCCATGATCGTGACCTTCGTGCGTCTAGCGAAACGCCTTTTCTCACCCAATATGGACTTACAGGTAATTTCTCGACTAGGCTGTAGCTCCAAACGGGCAGCGCGTCTCCTCTAAACGCACAATCAGGGGCACAAATTCACAAAAACTCAATGTTAAACGCCATTTTAGTGTTGCTGATGTCAGACAGTCGTGGAGTTATCGCCCAGTCACCGGAAGTCGACACTGATGACGCCAATGACAGGCCAGCGGAGGCACGAACGAGACCCCGCGGCGTGTCGAATAAGACGTGGGTCTTCGATGCCGGCGATCCCCTTGTCTGCATTGCAATTTCGAGTAGCCATCCGTTGCTCGCAGTTGCCGGGCGAAATCTCCTCCAGATCCTTCGAGTGGAAGAGGACAAGTTTGTTTCAGTACGCATTACTGGTGAAGCAATCGCCTCATTAACAGTGTCCATTATCAAATGCTTAATTTCATCGATAATTATCAAGCGGCACCACATTTTCCTTACGGGGTTTCCTTGAACAATCTGTCGGCGAAACGTGTGTGGTCTAGTGCCTTTGGATAAGGAAAGCTAGACGACGCATTCTAATTTAAGCCAACAATTTCACAAGGTCCATGCTCATTTCTCTTGTGCTAATCGGCAAGCTTGTTGTTGCGGTGTCTTATGACTCGTTCGCAATTTTAATTACGGCCTGTCCTGAGAGCCGTCATTGAGCATCCACCAGGCGTATGGGCCATTCATTGCATCACCACCCAACTTGTGGATTGATCTTCGGCATAATCGTCAGTGCTGTTATTCATCCATGCGCCGGTTATGCGAAACTACTGTAGCCATTGGCCACTCCTTGGTGATCATCCCTGCTGTAAGTTCAGAGGTCAATTATCATTGGTTAACGCTAGTTAACGTCACCGTTGTCGAGTCGTTGCAATGAACGTTACCATTACACCAGCTCGTTCTATGGAGACATCAAACTTGTCGCGCTGTGCTTCGGATCTGTTTGTGGTACCAGGTTCATTGTAGATTCTCGGTTGGGTGGTCAAGAGACTGGCTTGTGCCATCACAGGTATTGGTCCTTTCTGACTGTTCCAATGCAAAAGTGCGACCATGCATATTTTTTGCATCGTCGTGTTGTCAGAAGTGTGGGGATAAGTCAATATGTCCTGCGTTGAAATAAAGCCACTTTTTCCGGTTACCAGATTCACCGATTGAAGAATCTTCACCGCAACATCTCAACCAAGGCCCCGACCAACGCCGCCAAAGCGAATCCCGCATCGGCAATGGCCTCACACTTCCAGTCAGCTCGGAGTTACGCCATCAACGATGTCGCATGGTCCGATACGCAAAGTAAGTTGTGCTATAATGCACCCCTTTCCTCAATAGTGGTCTACTTATTAACTGTCAGCCACGCGGGCTCTCTCACGGTTATAGACCGTCTTGGTAACTTAGGTTCTGTGGTTTTCGTGCATAATTTGGTGTCTTTCTTTTAATTAGCTACTCTGGCCACCTGCACCAACGCTGGAGACCTGATAATTTGGGATTTGAGTCGTGGCATAAATCAAAGTGAGTACTTCTTCATCCCTTTTTCAGTTGCATTAATAGCCTTTCTCACTTGAATTAAGTAATATTTACTTACTAATTTCCAGTCCTCATTAATTAAATAGCCGTTTGTGTGGGTATTTCGATGTCATAGTAATTGGCGTTTAATTTCCCGCAGAAACGCAAGTGTAATTCGAAACTGCGCGGCAACATCGCCACGCCTTTGCCGTTGAATGTGTCAAACAGCAAGGCCGTTGCACAATAAAGGCACTTTTGCAAACAGCCCGGCCGAATTCCTTTCCTTTTTCCAACCTTGCTCGACAGTTTGACCTGAATTTACTGATTTAAATGTAATTAGTGGATTGCACTTTGAAAGACATGTTAAATGCGGACAAATTAATGTGTGTAAAGTAAAAGCACGTGACGATTATACGCAAGAAAAGACGAGCCAATCCTTTTCCCTTGTGCGGGCCAAAGAGTGTAAAGTACAGCGTTGAAAAGCATAGCAAGCGTGTAAGTGTTGCGAACATTAAAATGGTTTACACGAGCTTGTTAAAGATTTTTCTAAGCTCCACTGCGCATACAGGTGTACGGTATTCGAGGTGTTGGTGCAGACACTTCTTCCGAACGATAAAAAGTTCAAAAATACCCAAGTCACTTATAGCGAAACGCTGACCACTCAGGCACTAGATGATTAAATTCCCCAGTCGCACAAGTTTTTTTCTCACGGTATTTTTTAAGCTTCTTTTTCCGTCAGGTGTCTGCCTGGTCGGGAACTCTCGGAGCGTGCACAGGATCCACTTCAACCCAAACGCACCCAACGAACTAATCTCTGCGTCGCACGATGGAAATATCAGGCTCTTTGTATGTCGTGCATTGTTTTGGTTGCAACAACCGTGGTTTGTGCGCCTCTATGCTTTTTATTCGCCCGTTTCTTTAAAGTGAAGACACCTAAAGAGGCATTTTTATCGTTACGACGACTAGGCCTAATCCACAGTCCCATGAGTACTTCCTTGCAGTTCTAACTCTAAAGATATCACTTGGTTCGGTGCACAAGCTGTCGTGTAAAACTACTCCAGGGAGCATTAACTTTGTCACTGCTGGAGAAGCCTTTTGGGGCAAGACGTTCCCAATCCGTATCCACACAGTCTCAATGGTGACCTCAAACATCCGTATTCTTTCTGTTCCACTTGCTTCCAGGACATTCGGGACCAGTCCTATTGCCGGATCTTCCAGGTCCGCACAACAGCTCCCTCGCCAGTTCGAGACGTTGTCTACTGCCCCCACGAGGGACACATTTTCGCAGGCGCCTTCGAAAACGGACTGGTTGGTGTCTGGGACACGAGGAACGAGAGCAGACCAGCCAGGTGCTTCCAAGGTCATACCTGCGTCACGGCCAGTATCGATTGGCACCCGCATTGGAATTCCATTGAGTGCGTTTACCGCATTGGCAGTGGGTATCGGTTTGTGGCATAGGACGAAAAGCATTCGCGATCGAGAAAAGCCCTTTGAGAAGTAGCGAAGAATGCCTGTGAGCATCAACGCTTAGACGATACCCTTGTTCGTGAAGATGGCCAATACTCGCGTAGTTTGCGACGACAGGTCCTAGTTGCCAGTGGCTTGGGCAAAATGCCTTATCCAAAGGCGCACACATTTTCGCCTTTCCATTAATTTTGCGTGCTGGCAGCACCTTGTTCCCTGCTTATTCGTCATTGTGGTTAAACTGAAATACGCGGTTAATTTGCCGGTTATCCTATCTCGGGTAATTGGGAAGGTGACCGTGTGGCCGGAGTTAGGCAACCAATTATCCCTCAATCGGCGATTTTGTGTTGCGTTCGAGTCAACTGCAAAGCATTTAGAATGAAGGCACTAGGACAGAGGTCTCATAAATGCTGAGGTAGAATCAATGTTTTTACACAAATAACATTTACGTTGGGGTATTAGCCGTTAGCGCACAGTTTTCCAAGAACCGTGCCTCCCCCCCCCACAAAGTATATATTTGCTGCATTTAGTCGGAACTGGCTGGCCACGGCAGGGGGTCGCGACAACATGATAAAGGTGTGGGACCTCAACCGGTCGTGCCCCACCGCCGTCTACTCCTTGCGCGCGAAGAACACTGGCCACGTCCGCTGGCGCCTAGGCGAGGTTGTTCTCCTCCTCTTTCTTTTCTTACTCACGCCAAGCTTATTCAGGCAAAGCTTAGATAGTTAATCATGCAGGGGCTGCCCTTTTAGCCGCAACTGGTCCATAGGTTTGTCTTTGCTTGTTCTACAACTCCCCAGTTTTGTCACATTAACTCCACCGACGCCGTCGGCGCATCATTCTGGGGTACAATTCCGTGTCATTTTGTCAGTGATACATAACAGTGTCGCACATTTGTGGTGTTGTGGATGTTCTGTACAACAAACAACGCCATAATTTGTCTCAAAAATACCACTTCAGACGCAATAGCCGCCAATAACTTTGGCGTTTGGGTGTTGCCGCAGGAGATATATGTGTCTACGGGTTCTTTTTTAAATAAAATACGTTAACAATTGTTGAAACTTTCCCAGTAAAATAACCCTCATCGAAATGTTTAACCTTTCCTAGGCAACCCAGGTAATTTCGAGTTGCTCGCTGAGTTTGGATTTGAGTATTCACCTGTGGGAACTCAATCGACCCTACATCCCCTACGTCACATTCGAGGGCCATTCCCACACCATATCAGGTGCGCTCAAATGTCACTTTCCCTTTCATTTTGTACCTGATTAACGGACCCCCATGGGGCCCGTGTTGCCCTCCTGGTGCAGGCAGGAATCGGCTTCATGTTTGACGACTGAATTAAGTCGAATTGTCTGCAATTGATTGCTTCTTCATGTATTACTAGGTTTTTTAGGAACACAGGTAAGTCTTGTAAGTGCCAGATAAAAGGCAGAAATGCCCGTTGCTGGACTATAAAATTTCCTCACCAAAGCTGATCAGCCCACATGCCCAACTTTTCGCTGGCGGTAAACTTGTTGCTGTTCGTTCAGCAGTTGAGCACGCACTTTCGGAACCAACAATGTGCTCAAGACCTCTGTACAGGTACAGTAAATATGACCTTCGGTATCAATTATCGCCTATGGCTCCCAGTCTGTCTTATTATGTTCTTACGGAGTTGATGCTGTTTCCCTGGGTAGCGCGTTTCAGCTTGTTGCCTATTGGTTAATAACACTGTCGTTCTTCAGCCAACCACGTGTGCGTTTTTCTAGAAGCCCACCAATCATTGAGTTGCAATCAAACTGTGTATGCCTTGATAGAACTATTGATAGCTCAACTAGCCCATGTCTTCTGTTTAGGGCATTCATTCATTCATCCTTGTCAAAAGGCCCTTTGTCACAAACCTGCGTTCATTTAATCCCAATTTTAGCAGTTCGATGAGGTTCAGACAATTGAATAACCCAATCTTGATCTATTTGAGCGTTTTCGCTAACACCAAGGTGCTATTTTACGCGAGGGTCGAGAATGCAGCGCACATTCATTCTTAGGCATTTGTTGGAGCAACGACCACGACGCATTTTACTCAGTGTCTCGCGACGGGCTACTCTTGCGCCACCACATTGAGGGTGGAATCCAGCCGGTTCGAGGCGCGAATCCAGTAGCCCTTGCGTTGAATTGCCACGGTCCGGTTGCCCACGCCATTGGCGGAGAGCCGGGTTTGCGCGTAATGGCTGAACTGAAGCGTTCACCGTCAACAGTGGGAGATCAGGCTTCACTCCTCCATCGAACCATCTCCGAAGCCACTATGCGAACACCGCATCAACTCCTCGTCACTCGCAGATCCAGTGCGTTCCTTGTCCGATTACTCTGTTTCCGAGGGCTTCAGCCACAATTTTGTTTCTCCAAGTAGTGTAGTCTCTCACCAAGGATCGTTGGCTAGTGGGTGGTTCTGTGCTATTTTCGTGTGTTTAGAGGCAAGCGGTACGCATTTCTTGGTGGAGTCTTCGACGTCGTCACTTGAAGGTGTCGGCTTTGTGCGAAGTACCGAAAACCGTAGACAGTAAACCAATGGGGATAAAACCCATTTCTCACTTTGCATCTTTCTTAGCCCCAAAACGGCACTTGATAAGTCGCCTAGCTGAAAAATTGAAACTAAAGTGACAACGCGTCTACTTAAAGCCCTGTTCCTTATCGGAGCTCACTGCGTAATACTCCAACAATGTCACACACGCAAATTCCTTAGTCTCGCCCATGGATTGTTTCCGATTGCAGTTCAAGCACCGCTTCAAGTTTACTTACCACCGGACAGTCCTGGTGACACCTCGTTGTCAGAAGCGACCCCGCCGAGCATTATTCCACCGGACGTCTTCGTCGCTCAGGGCCGCAGTGAGCTCTTTGAAGCGACCTTCATGCTGAAGGTGACTTTCTCGACCTATTCCCTACCTTTTGATCAATGTCGCGTCCTTTCTTCACACGTATTTTCATGTTTAACTTGTACCTTAGTTTTATTTACCTAGACCGACCGTTAGCTAAACCAACGCTAGTTGGCCTTGGATGTAGTTTTAGACATCGTAGTGTTCTCGACTGAGGTGGTCAATCCTCGCCATTTTACTGTGTGAAGTAGGCGTCTTTTTACACTGAGCAATTGACGTAACATTCAGCATGTCTTCTGCGTTCCCTTCTCCAGCAATCCGCGGAACTCTCAGCTGCGGTGTCTTCCTTGGTTCTGCCAGACGTCTTTATCCACCTGGCAAAGCATTACAGAATCGCTGGAGGCTGCGTGGAAGAGGTTTGTGACCACAATTCGTCCGTCGCTCGCCACGTCCACCAAGATTTTGTAAGTTAATGATTAGTCCCCGCTTGGGTTGAATGCGTTCACTGAAATGCTCTCTAGGCATACTAGTTGACTGGAGAGCAGGTTGTATGTGTGTGTGTCTCAGTTTCTCAAATTAACTTTGGATATCTTAAGAGTTTGGCGTTTGGACATTTCAGCTATCACAATTCTGGTTGACTCTCAAAATGATATACGGCCACACTTGGCAGTACTTGGCGGCATCGAACCAAAAGCCAGCCGCTGATACGCCTTCGAAGCGCAGACCCGAAGACGAGAAGCCTTTGTCGGCCAGGGCCTCCTCAACACCTCGTCGTCCGCCCCTTCCAAATTCGTCGTCAACGCAAACCTACGCAGAGGTGGCCAGTCGGCGATCTAGTGGAGTTTGTGTGCTCGATTTTATCGTCCGTCACAGAACCCCGGATGATGGAGACGACAAATGTACGGTTCTCGATTTAGGCATTTGTTGAAGTGTAGCGGGTGAAGTCTGCTCTTTGGAGTGGAAATAGCCTGATTTTGCAGTAACACGTTCGTGTCTTCACTTTAAGGGCTTGTGAAAATCTTGCCAGCCTTATTCACGAAGACGCAGACTGTGATATCGGTCGTGTTGAATTTGTAGCCCCCAGGTACAAGACGATGGTGCATCTTCAGCTTAGCATTGTTTGTGAATTTGACCAGAGCCCAGGTCGTTGTTTGCATGTCTTGTTTGCACACAATAAGAGGACAAGAGGTGCTTTATTTGCTTTTCATTACTGAGCTGTAGCTTTGACGTATAGAGTTATGGGCGAGATTGACGAGCGGCAAGTTGCATTGCCCGCATTCGTGAATTCAACCGCGCTTGTTACTTTTTCTTGTAGTCAAAATCGATGAGATCGATAATGCTGAGGAGAAACCCGAGGTCGAGACGCCAATGAGTGCTAAGGAGGTCGCTTCAGATCCTGGAATGGTGAAGACGCCTCAGCAGATAGCCGAGACTGGCAGTCTGGGTCGGTCTGTTAACTTTCTCTTTGACGGAGGAAGAACCATTAGTCCACCGACACCTGATCCGAAAATCAGAGCTCGTACAGTCGGTTTGAGCTCGATTCCATCGGAAGCAGACGCCAATTTGTTCGTTGGAGCCTCCGAGGCGACGGGAATGGGCTCAAGGAAGTGGGTCTTTTTGACAAAAGCCTCCTTTCAACCTTTTATGTACACTAACCGGTGCTTCGATTTACCTTTTAGAGCCTCCCTCGAATGCAGCCGAAGTATGTCTCTCTAGTACTTGTTGCGTTCTTCATCAGAGACAGCGCGTTAATGCCTTAACTGGACTAATTGTCATTTAGCCACTGGCTGTCTGGTAGGCAGGCTAACAATGTTTTTTTGTGCTTTTGGTCATCTGCTTTCCTTGGAGTTATCTAGTGAGTAAGCTGGTTGTTGTCCGTTGGTGAAAATCTAGCACCTAGCGCCGAGCATTCTTGCCCAGACACCCCATTTCACCAAAACATCCACTAATAGCACTTTCGTGAAAATCTCTTTTCTGCCCCTCCATCTAGAACTTGAATCAAAGTCATCAGTGGAAGAATCCGCTAACCAGAAAAGGTCCCGCAATTCTCGGTAATTTCTACTGTTTATTTCAGCAAGCCGTTGTATTCTTGGGTGTGTGTGTGTGTGTGTGTGTGTGTGTGCCTTAAAACTTCAATGTCGAATCAAGGCTTAGAAGTTTGGTAACCTACTCAAAATGTCGGTCAATATGTGTGGTACTTAACCGATACGTTGTTATTAGTGAGTCCGCTTTCAGATCTGAGGTTGCAATTTCCAACTTCCGTTATGAAACCAAACACCGTTAGCTAAGAGAGGCAAATGGAGTCAGTGTTTGTTGATTAGAAATTTCGCGAGTTCGCTTCAGTATTTGTGCCGGGCGAAGTGAGTAGTATCTAGTATTAGACGTATTCGGGAATGCGGGAACCAATCACGCAAAAAAAACAATTAAGTTAGTTTAAACTGACTCCTGTGATTTCAACTTCACATTTCTGCCACTTTGCCCGTGGTTTATCGTTCAGATTTTGTCTCGGTGTGTACGCGCTCCAACAATCTGAGCAGCCACAAACCTTAATTTATTTTCAGTGAAACAGCCGAAGTTGAAAAACCGAAGGACCAAGTGGCACTGCCTTCTTCGCGAGCTGGCAGCCTCGATCTCACCTCGGCGGCAGATTGTCTAGGGCCGGTAGACACGGCATTGCTTGAAACGTTTACGTATCCACTGGACTTCTCCCACCTGATTGGACCATGGTTCCTGGAACTCGTGCGTTTTGCTGTTTGCTCCTTGCTTCTTCTGTGTTCCTTTAAATGTATTTCTTTTGAAATCGTTTTGACCTTGAACTATCGGTTTGTTTTAATTGGCTCATTCGCTTGCGTAAACAGAACGTTTTTGCGCCCTGAAGGTTGAAGCCGGTCACGTACAGACGGTGTGCACTGCGCTGGTTGCCTTGGGTACTGAACGAACGCGAATCAACGAGTGGGCTACTGAGAAGCAAATTGAAAGCTGGTTCTACTCATACCTCGGTAAGTTACCAAGCATCTCGATGATTCCCGACCAAACCGCTTTCAAGTTCCACTTGAAAAAAGTCCATGCCGCCTAGCTGGGAAATGAGTACTCGCCTGCTATCTAGTTGACTTTTGAAGTTTCACATGCTTGTCTCTTTACGCTTCATGCCCTTCCACATTCAGACGTCTTGGTGCGGTTCCGTCTATGGAGTGTTTCCACAAGGCTAATCAAACATTGCGGAGGTCTTCAAGGTGGGATTGTGGAAGACACTACGTTTGCTTCGCCAGCTACGTCAACCCCAGCCATCCACGATGGGAGGTCAAAGCCCAAAGACCAAATGTTTCCCAGGAAACAATCACTTTACGGTGAGGTTTTTTTCCTCCTTATCTGGCTCGTTTACTTAAAACATTTTCTTTTGACTGTTTGCATCAACTACTACTCTGAGAGGTTATGTAACCCACGTAGAGTTGTCGTTCAGTGTTCTGTAACCTCCCATCCATCCAAATGTCTATTTTAAATGTAATTTTGAGCTGGAATAAAAAAAAGCCGGATAAATTGATTGGCCAGCCTCTTCTTTTAGTCCCTCCTAAATCAGGCGCCCTTCCACTAGCCAGGCACATTGCGATTCTCAATCAGACCGGGACAAGTGTGTCAATTCGATGCGGCAAATGCTCAAAGCCCATGCAGAGGCCCCCAGTTGCGTCAACACCCTCACCAGTGACGCCGCAATCCACGGGGTCGACACTGCAGACAGCGTCGGCGTCCTCCATGACTCCGTCGCACGCGGCGTGGGCGTGCTCTAGGCACACCAGCGCCGAGACCTCCCTCTCAACCTGCGCTGTCTGTCACATGACAGTGCGCGGCATTTACCTCTGGTGCATTGGATGCAGTCACGGTGGACACTTGGACCACATCAGGGTGAGAGACTTGCTTTGCGTCGACTTCGCTACTTCTCTGTGGTAGTAGGATTACGGCCGTACCCATTTACTAATTTCAACTCTTGGGTTGGGGCGGCTACATTCCAGTTTATCAAAGTCATCTCGTCGCCCCACGAGGAATGCATTTAGGTTAAACTGGGTTGTTAAAATTAAGGGTCTTATTACTTTAGTTAGTTTAACTGTCCATTCGTATGGGTGAGTGCTCAATTGCAGCCAAACTTTCACGTGAATCGCCAATTTATTTAATCATGTGGCGTTTCTTTGAAGGAGTGGATAACTCGCCGTCGTGAATGCCCCGCCGGATGTGGACACTACTGTGAATACGGAAAGCTCGATGGGAGTGTCTACATTCAAATTTCTGCTTAGCAGATGTGTTTATTCACAGATTGCTCTGTTGCTTTCTTCCTTTTTTACTGATTTTTTAAAAATGTACTATTTCAAGTGCAAATTCTAGTTTTTTTTTTCATTTGACTGAGTTCATATGTTGCTGAAGGCACGACATCCTCCTTCAATAACCACACTGCTTCCAATATGAAAAACAAGCCGATTTCTTGTGAACTGTTTTCACAATTTGACACCACAATGTCTAAATTTGCTTAGTCGATGCAATGCATCACAGTAAATTCTAATGAATAGCTAGCCTAAGTGGTTTACGAGGTCTGATCTGTTGCATCTCTCGTGGGTTCTTTTGAAATTTTTCTGGTCGTAGGAATATTCTTCTTCAACGCGTTGAGGAAGTACGATTAAACCATTAAATGACTGTGCTGCAGGCGATGCAAGTAAGGTAGTGTATTTTACAGAAATGCAGCGTAAGATCAAAAAGCGTGAAACGTCATGTATTCAAGCGGATATTAGTTGTATTTGGTGCTGATCTAATTAATTTTTCTTTCATTTTGATAGCCATTAAACAGAGGGCAACGAAGCATAGTATAAAGCTGATAGAGGCCAGAACTGCTACTCTGGCATTTTTCTGACGGCCGTACAATAGATCTCCCGCTTTGGTGAGAAACCTCAGAGGCACTGCACTGCTCCTGCGGCAGGTTTTGTGAAACACCCCTTTGTTGTGCTTCCCAAGGTTGGGGATAATTATGGCTGTGCAGATGCGATCGTCGCCTCCACATATTTTACCGGCTTTTGGCAACACTGTGCCACCTTTCTAAAACATGATTAAAGAAAAGATATTAGCAGATATTCCCGGTCTCGTTCGGGGAGAGTCTGTACAGCGAAGCTAAGGCCATGGGGGACATAGATTCGCTGACCTTTAGACAACTTTCCGTTATACATCATTACTGATGAACCATATTTACTTAGCACCTTCATTTCTTTAGACTTTTTTTCAAAAGAACAGAAACTTATGCAGTAGGTCTGCATGCTCTAGTAAAGTGAGGAGTTCAAGTATATTTTTGGTGGCCTGAGACTTTAATTTTTTGTATTTCATTACTCCTGAATGATAATTTTTTGGCGTACTAAGTACAGAGTAAGGAGGGCGTCACCTAATTTTTAACCCAGAAATCACTGCTTAACCAACTTCAGAACCTGTAATCATGGATTAAAGGAGGAGAAACTTGCTATAAGACAAGGAAAAATGACACCTCGTTCGGGCTATCGTACTACATTAAATGAGGCAAATAATTAAAATTTGCATGACAGTTATCTAACAGAAATCCATGTTATAAAGGTACCATTGTTTTAATAAATATGGCCGGAGTCCTTCGGATAGTGTTACCACTTGCAGACACTAATTTGAACCAATGGATTCCGATTATTTCATTCGTTACAGGCATGCTGAAAATGAGCTGAAGTAAACGACCTTTTTCCACGGAAATCGTAAACGACCTGAAAATTGCCATCCCAGGCAATTTGTAGTCGGACTTTGGAAAGAACAGTTTTCCGTTCCAAGTCAGTGGCATTCTAACCACTGACTCTTTTGAGTCACATTTACATATCCAATAAAGTGTCATAGTTTTTGTAAAACCCTTCGTAGAATCACTAGATAATCTTTCAAAAACGACAATGCTGATTGAGCGAAGAAACTGCGGAACTTCATAAAATTTAAGTTTAGAGTTAACATCAGCACCTTTCAGTGGCAAAAATGGTAAATACAGGGATGTTTTCGTTGTTATAAGCATATCACCATAGTCGCCATTTAAATAACTTAAATCATCAGGTCCATACAAGAATAATGTAATCCACAAGTTAAGTCCACCTAGAAAGTTAGGGCATGGCAACATTGCCACGGAATTTCATGTCACTTTCATGCAACGCGGTGTTTCTGCCTATTTAAACAGAACAGAGAAGAAACTTTATTTACTAATGATTTACAACATTAACCATAATTATTAAATTGCTGCGCTTTTACTAATGACTGTCTAACCAAATATTATCATGACTAGTTGTTTGTCCAAAGACTTGATTTCCCCCTTTGTTAAGCTTGTGAGAACGAAAATGTCATATGGACTGCAATTGCTTTGACTTTCCTTTAAAATCTTTTTTTTTCTTAAGGCAAATATCGCCATGCTTTGTAAATCAAATATACAATTATAATTCTTACATTTCTTACTTGAGCGCTAACGTTGACCCGGCAGCTAGTCATTATTATTGGAACTTAGTTAAATCGCAACTTCCTGCAAATTTACTCACCTAATTTTTTATGTGGTCTGATAACTTCTATCCAAAAAAATAAGTCTATGCCATTTAATCATGTCAGTCTGGATTTTCTTCATAGTGCTTGTGATTTGCCGTTTTTCAGTTAGGGGTAATCACAAAAAAGTTTTAACCTTGTACTAGCCGTAGGCAATATAATTCGTATAATTTATGTTTACCACCCTCTAACTAACTTAAGGTAAATAATGATTTTTGACACGTGTTGTTTTTCATTTTCTTGCTTCAGTGGGTCATAGTTGGCCAAAATATATAAATATGCTTGGCGTGTTTGAAGTAAACTGAGAGTTAACATGGGCTGTTATTATATGCTATCAAGTAACTACATATAAAAATGTTTGCTGCAAGTGAATAAAGATTTGATTTTACTCTGCCTCAAACCTATTCGAAAACTTATAGCATAATCTTCTTACCTTGACTTAGTCTGCTAAGCAGATCTTGTTGAGATTATTTGGGATTCTTATATCAAAAGGTGTGGGAACACCCAGACATAGTAGTTGGATTTATCCAATATATGTGTGGGTTATATATACGTGATACGTCTATTAACTCTTTTAAAACACTTATTTCAAAATATCCTGTACGAACCATGGCTTTTGGCATTTGTGCATTTCAAGTACAGCACAGGATCCTGATGAAAATAATGCCTTATATTTCAAATTAATGCACACTGTCGCAAAGTGTTTAAATTAACCTGTATTTATCGTTTAGCTTTTTTGCTTACTAATCACAAAGAGAGAGAAATGAGTCAAATTACATATTTAAATGTACCAATATTTGATTTCGCATCTTGTGTACATTTTTTTTTCACTATTAACCTTCGAGGAAATCCCGTCACTTGACATATTTATGCGATTTATAATTTTAAATATATCTGATTTCCATACTTTGCGCCACTAATGGCTAAATTCAAAATCAAATTCGCTTAATTGAAATCTTTTCACGTTAATCTTAATGAGGGATTGCCAAGTCGCAGTACTTGTTTTATTCCATTGTCAATATTTTTATGTGATTTTTCACATTTGTTTTGGTAGTTTGGGCGAAAAACCACGTTCGTCTAAAATGCACTTTACTTTCTATGTTTGCATTTTAATCTGTTGAGCCCATTACTGTACGTTGAGCATACTAAATCAATTGTCCTAGTTAATCCCTTGGGAATTATTCATGGTTCTAAAGCACAATTCACGAATTAGTTAAAATATTTTAGCAATTTGCACGAAGGTCAGCTTATTCGGAAGTAGTTAATGAACCCGCTACATGGCTTACTCCACTTAAATTTCCTCTGAAAAAGCCGATGTTCAATTTACCACACCAAATAACTTATGCAATTCACATCCCTAACACAACACGTATCAAATAACTTCGCCCAATCATAAGTAAGCCGACAAGTTAAACAGATAAATGCAAATTTTATAACTATTAATAAAACCCAACATTTTAATTACTGCCAAATTCTACAAGTATTATCTTTGGAACCAGTTACAATTGAATCTCCCTCGTAGTTAAACGCACAACTAAACACCTCATCAGAGTGGCCAATGAGAACGTCACGCATGCTTCCAGTTTGCGTGTCCCAGAGACGAACAGTCTTGTCTGCACTTGCTGTCATCAACGTCAATCCACGAGGACTAAAACAGACCTAAAAATATATTTGCGTTAGGAACACGAATATCTGGCAGTACTATAAGGTAAGCTGAACTGCCATCATTGCATGTGTAAGATTTTCTGTGAAAAAATCGTATGTCACAAGTTAGAGGGAGAAGTCGCAATAATGAGCACCGACCTTACTGACTTCTCCATCATGGCCCTTCAACTTGTGAGTCTGCTTTATGTTTTCGTTAGGGCCTTTTCCACCTTGATCGGTGCTCCAGAGAATTGCCGTTCCGTCAGCACTAGCACTTGCAAGCTGCCGGCCAGAGAGGTCGAAAGAAACATCTAATACTTCATCCTCATGCCCATGAAGGACAGCAAGTTCGCGATTTTTGCGAATGTCCCAAACCTTAAGAAATAAGCTTAAATATTAAGACGTTGCTCATTTTGCAATGGTGGTTAAATTAAACGGCCTGGTTCGGTAGAATCTTTAGAGTGCCCCGGAGACAAAGCGGACATTGCGGACATCTAAGTAGTGATGGCCAACTCCAAAAGCTTTTAAATAATCTTAGTGTAACAGCAAGTTCTTGCCTGTATTATATCGGTTATGCTTTAACGATTGTTTCCTGTTTAATAGGATGAAAATTAATTGAGTTACACACGGCTACAGATGAAGAATCTGATACGAACTAATTTTCATAAAATAAGGTCCAATTTCCTTAAGTTGCTTTTACTGCTTCTTTAGTGTTTATTTCTATGACTTATAAACAAATTTGTCAATTTGCGAAGCCAAAGGCATATGCATTATAACTCACCCTCACGGTCTTGTCCATTGAAGCCGTGGCAACAAGACGTCCATCAAATGAACACGTTGCAGCAGCTACCTCAGCAGTGTGACCGACTAAATGATTAATACGTTTGCCAGTACGCACGTCCCATAATGCTGCGGAGTGGTCGAAGCTACCAGTAAGCAGCACGTGGTCATCTTGTCCAACAAAGTGGAGAGCAATTACTTCAGCGGTGTGGCCACTCATTGTCGTTGTTTCAGTCCCTGAATTTAGGTCCCATATTTTTGCTGCTGTATCCATACTACCTTTGAAATAAAAATTTTCACAAAACGCGCTATTATTGTTGGATCTTTTGGGTGCATACACAAGGATAATGATTTCTAGATGGCAATTTCGTAAAGATTTAGATTCACAGTCATCCAGAAAAGTAAATATTAGCCTACCTGTAGCTAAAACTCTGCTTGTTGAATCAAACTGAAGACAAACCACTTCTGCAGAGTGCCCAAGTAGAGTGTGAAGACAATCCCCAGTTTCTGAATTCCAAACCTTAGCAGTTTTATCAAAGGAACCTGTTGCTATTCGATCTAAAATTGGCATAAATGGTTCAGCCTGTAGTCTTAACCACTTTTTTCATAGTAAGTAAAAGTCATCTTCAAATAAAGAGCGTAGCAATATGCTCATAGGTCAAAACTACTTGACTAGTTTAGTCAAAGAATTTATTAATTCAAGTCAATAAAAAATTCAGGTAAGTTGGACCCCCATGATTTTTCTAAATGCTACTTGCAAGTCGTCTGCTAAACATAAAATGACTTGAATTAACCTCCAGTCAACCTTTTGCTTAAGATAACATAAATGGCTCGTACATTTTAACAGACAAATTTACCTGAAATAGGTAAATTAAAGGCGATGGTGTAAACGACATTCCTGTGCCCTTCTAACGTTAATGTCTCGGCTCCTGTTACAGTGTCCCAAATTTTGCAGGTTCTGTCATATGAGCCAGTAATGCAGCTAAAATAAACACATTCAATTTTTCCAGTTAGGACAGGATTTACCTGACTTTAAGAAACTAAAGGGAATGCAATGAAAGAGTTTGTATTCCGGAATTTACATAAAAGGTTACAGACTATGGCGCAATTTTTTGGTGCGTCTTACATAGACCTAATGTTTTATAGTAAATTAGAATTATTTAATTGGCAAAATAAAACTGCACTAATCTGAAATAAATGCAACTCACTGACTCCCAGTTTTATTGAATGAGACATTCGTCAGTGGTAGAATGTGTGCCTTTAAAACCTAGGAATCTTCATGTTTAATCAGGAATAAAAAGAATAACTACTTTAACTTCTGCAAATTGCTTCTTGTCAGGTCTTGAAGCCATAACCTTTAGCCTTTCTATTAGCTTCTCAACTTGATCGGCGCGTTTCTGCATCAGAAGAGGCTCAAATTTTACTATCTGCTTTGCAAGAGCCTCCGAATCAGTTCTTAATCATTAATGTAATTCCATTCCTTACAGAAAATCCAACCGAAGCAAGTCAATTGTTCTCATGCGAATGCAGCCACCCTGCTGATATTCAAGAATTATACCTTAAACATTCATGCGAAAGTTTACATTACCTGGAGGGTAATATCTTAAGAGGAACCTTTTAATACGCATGACCCAAATGAGGCTGGTTACAAGCTGTCACGAGAGCGACGTAATTTTACACATTTAAACAAGTGTAAAGGTCATGCGACTAAATGTATTTCTGAAACCATTTGAAGCGTTGTAAAAATATGTACTGACTTTATTTCAAGGTAAATTGTGCAAATAGATAACTTAAAAAGTTTCATATAGTACAGTGTCTTAAAGAGAAACTTTGTGAAATCAAGTTTTTTGAATTTTTCTTCAATCGAATAACATAGAGGCGATAATCTGGAAAAAAATCCAAGCAGGTTTAAAAACGTTTGTTTTATATGTACATAAATCGCCATAAGGCTATTTATTTAAAAGTAGTGCTCAAAATACAGAGCTTCTCACACCGGCCATTTGACTTATTGACAGCAACACGATAAGATGGCCTGTAATATTTAACTCAAAACTTTAAATATATTGACTTTTAAATGTGTCGTTTTTTAGAATGTAGAACTTAATGATTTGACTCAATGAAAAACTTTGTTGGTAATGGAAGTCCGGACCAGCAATATTTGGTGTGTTTTCATGAAAATAAGCGAAACAAGCAAATGTGGCTGAACAAAGTCTGAGGAAACTTTTTTTATGATTCTTGCTAGGTGTATTCACATTTGTTGAAATTTCATAGTTTAAAACCAAAATGACTTTGCATATTAATATATGGCTTTATGTATTAATTTTATGCTTGTCAATCTGTTAATAATCAATGTAAAATTTAGTTAGGGGATTGTAGTCAATATTGTCCGATAAAAAACTCTAACCAGATTCTTTCGAACTACGAATTTTGCTGTCATATTTCCGAAAAGTTAGTAATCACATATTCTAGCCAAGTTCAACGAAAAAGGACGACAGCCACTTATCTTTTACAGAGCAGTCAGTAAAGATTAGAAACAATATTTCTACAAAAATTACGTATAACCATTGGGGTGAAGCACACAATAATTAATTGTTTTCACTTTGAAGTCCTATATCGCTAGCAGGATTTTTTTGAATTTTTAACTAAGAATTTGCATTAGCTATTAATTGTGTTGACTGAAGTCATCATCTTTACAACTCAAAGATGTGGACGCTTACCTCTCAAACAGCATTTGTGCGTTTCCTAACCCAATTTTATGGTCTTATTGTGGGCCCCAGCATGTAATCTTGAACAACGTTGGGGCCAATGACCAGGATTTGGCCCGGTTACGCTTCCTTGTTGTCCACATTGACGAAGAAGACCAGGCTGTACGTGAACACAAACGTTTACTCCAGAGCTCAATCAAGGTGGTGTTGTTGTGTCGCGGATGGCGCTTAAGCGCGCGTATTTATACCTCCGATGTGTGAGTTAAAGACGTGCTGCCATCGAGACCTAGGTGTGAGGATAATTCGCAATAATGCGTGTTAATTAAGAAGAGTTGAGGATCCTCGCGCCTGCCGACATCCTGCCTAAAGGGAGACGGTGTAACAGAGGATGGAGTGACCGGATTAACGAGTGTAAATCAAGGCGATTCACAACGGTCTATTTGTGGTTCATGTGAACACTTTTTGGCATTCATCTGCATGTATATATTTCTTAATGTACGCATGCGATTTAAAGATTTCGCGACATTTCACACTCATGGACGCATGATACTTTTTGGCTGAGCCTTCTTAGGAGCAACCGTGGAGTCAATCGCGCCTTCCGAATCGTCTAATTTGTCATCACCGCGTTGTCTCTAATCTCAACGTGGTGATGATCACTCTTACCGGGCTAAGCCCAGCTTGTATAATCTACTTAGGCCAAGCTAATGGTCAAAATTTGTAATAGTTTGTGAATAAGGTCATCAATAGGCGACAAATACAGTTTAAAACCAATTCTCAGAATATCTAATTGCTCGTGAATGTTCTTTTCAACAGAGTTTTAGGTAAGTGAGCGAGTTAACTTACAGCTTTAGCTCGGACCCATTAAAGCGGAACCATGAAAATATGCAGGTGGAAGACATATTCAAATGCCAGATGTCGTTTTAACCAAAAAATCAAAAATTTGAATGATAGGTAAACATAACCACTGTCAAATCATCTGTTTTCCCAAGTTGTTAGGAAGGGGTCTTGTCAACATGCTATGACTAAGATGGACGGTGGTAATTTGCTTGAATGTGCTATTTGTGATTTCCTAGTGCAATTTAACTAATCCAAGAAATAAAATTCTAAATTTGAATGATGTTTTGCCAATTTGTCACGAGCACCAAATTAATCTTTCTTAACGCCTTACGTGCGATTTACGTTTAAAGTGTTGGCAGTATTGCTCGTATCAAAGTATACTATGCGCATAAATCCCCAATTAAATTCCGTGTATTGCTGAACCCAGAACCAATTACGTCAGACATAAAAGCAGAATTTTGCGGTAGAACCTCGTTATCAAAGGCATTATCAATGCGGAAAAGAAAGCGACTTTGTAGTAGTATCAGCAAGTTGAATCATTCAAAATCCATTAGCATTTAAATATCAGGATGATGCTTGAAGCGTATATAAAAGAAATGTAGCATGGAGAATCAAGTTTAATACTAATTTATTTGAATTTGACCATCTAAGAAAATATGCGCTAATTACGTAAAGCATGCGAAAGTATGTTATTTATAGTGCATAATTATTTGTTTGAGATCAGATTAGAGGCCTGGTAAAACAAACTTTTTAGACGTCTGCTTGACAGATTTAAATTTATTTAACATGACTATTCTGGTTATAAACGGATGCAAAAGTTTCACAAGAGCTTTTCAAGCGTTTTGAGAATTAAAAATCTGTCAAATTTAGGAAAGAATTCCAACTGGTTAGTGAACTGACCGTGTTGGAAAATCGATAAATTGGATTCTTTTTTACACATATATGCAAAATAATAACTATATTCTGTTAAGGTTTAGGTTTTCCGCCTCGGGATTTAGATTCAAAGTAGGGCTAAGGTCCTACTAGGTATATGAGTAGCCAAGTGCCGTTTAGATGATTGTGTCCACGTCCTCTCCTCTCTTTTTCTTCATCGTGGGTATTGGGGAAACGTAATAGGACCAAGGGTAATTCCGTGGCCCCGGCGTGGCTCAAGACCACATGCTGGGGCTCACATCAAGATATTGAATATCAGTTTAGAGGTAGGGTACTAGGTGAAATTTACTGGAAATAACATAAAATATTGGTGAAGCTCCCCTATTAATTAGTGTGATTTCCAATAAATTATTTAAATATAAAGTCAAAAAGTCAAATCGCGGTTTCGACCCGCTATGTGTGAGTAGGAAAACTATTTTTTCGAAGGCTAAACAGCCCAAGTGCATTTCAGTAAATTTGTTTTGATGTAAAAAATGTGATTTACAGCGATTTCCGGCTATGTGTTTAAATCCGTTGTGAGGAAATTTAGTGTGTTATGAGGTTGACCTTACGAAATGGGGTAGAATCCATAATCACTTTAGAGGTCACGTTAGGGAGTTAGGCTCGCCGAAGGCGAGAGTCATGGGAGACTGGTTATGCAGAGAGTTAAGCATAAATTCTTCACTTGCTGCACCATTACATGCTCTTAATTACACGGGATCTGTCAACATGCTATGGCTAAGAAAGACGGTTATTATTTGCGTGAATGCGCTATTTGTGATTAAAGAGTGCAACTTAACTAATAGAAAAAAACATGAGTAAAACAATTTGTGGTTTATTTGACTGATTAGGCCTGGTATTGCTTTAAATTCCCGCTAACGCAATGTGATGACTGGTTACCCAAGAATTCAGGTTCAAATGTAACATCAGAAGACTGCCAGAAAACGTAAAAAACGATTTCACGAGTTAGTGTCCCGCGCAATGACGCCTTTGGTAAAATGAAAGGCAAACGCAAACTTGTCAGCCAGTAATGTATCCATTGTCTTCTGTTTGATTGAGCATTTCTCTATTTACTGGACTGAATAATGCTTTCCTAGTGTGTTTGACAAACACTCTAGCTCATTTTGACAACTTAGTTTGGGTTCTCTGTGAAAATTTAGTACTAAGAAATATTCAATTATAAAAGTGCGACCTAATGTTGCACTTAATTGTCTCCTTTTTTGCAATCAATCAATTTGCCTGAAACTACTTTGTGGAAACTGATCGAAGAACTTAGAACGAACTTGTCAAAGTTCAAATTATTGTTGGCAAGGCAAAAAAGACATCGTTTACCAGGGCTAAAATTATTTTCAAAATCCTTAAAATGACACTAACATGTTTCGATGATGTCCAAAAGGCTTCTCTAAAGTAGCTGTCATTTTCACAGATAAATGGAAAGCCCACGAGGCCGTTTATCGTCCTCTGTATTAACCACTGCAGCTATTAGGTGATTAGGGAATAAACTGTTTGAATGGGTTCACACGAAAAACAGAACCGATATCTGCAGTGATAACAGATTGATTTTTAGAAGTTAAATTAACCAAAATGAGACAAGGTCCTAAGTAAACTAAGAACTTACGGTTCTGTCAAATTGTTACATCGGCAGTTGGTGTAAAAAATTGCCGTGAATCGATAGAGCAATTTCTTGTGTCGCAAATACCATGGTTCTCAATAAAATCAGATGTCAGTTATGATTTAACACAAAAAACAAACAACTTTATGAATGCAACATCACAGTCAATTAAATTGTTATTAAAATAAAATAAAAAATTAGCCCGAAAAATTACTAATTTATTTATTACAAAGTCAATATCAAATTAATCTGAATGTACAGTCGTAATTACAATTTAAATTTGAAATAAATGATGACTAGATCTTAAATAGTTTCAAATACTGCTTGCAAACACATTTAAAGATAAATCATTGGATCACAGATCGTGTACCTCTTACCTCTTATGTAATAAATCAGAAGAATATCTAAGGAATTTTTAATTTAAAAAAAGCCTTTTTGAGGTTAATTTGTTTATTAGAACAGAATGATTTTTGGCTCTTCTAATTTTTTTCTTGGTTTGCACAGAAACACGAAAATCATCAAATATCATCCATTAAAATGTGCCATTTAAGTGCAGCTACAA